GAGTGGGGTGTCATGACGGGCTTATCAACGTTAGTACAACTCACAGATAGGCTGGAAGGTAGTATTTGTCATAGAAATTCATTCGCGATGTGCATTCGTATTAGAGTTGGCAGAGGAGAGCGGTTTAGTAAGCCTTACACAAATCTCCACAATTGTGGCTTCGTTAAAGTGCCTACCGTATTCTGGATGTTACTCATAATATCGAGTCCTTGGGATTAATAGAATCCTATTTTGGCTTAGGATCTTGGAGGACCGCTTTTTTTGCGTGAGAGACGACGGCAGCGCCTTCGACCCATAGCGCGATAGAGGAATAAATGTGGCATGTCCCCTAATGGAAAGTCGATGTGAATTGGGTAAGCAGAATGTTGAAAATGGTGTACCCAATGAGACTGACGATCGTCGACCATCGAGTTGATAGCGGCGAGTGCGGAGCAGGCGACGTTTAAAAATTTCGCCATGCGACTTTCGCTGTCTTAGTGTTGCTACAAAATGAGCCATACTGTCCTACGCAGTCGTCGAGAAAGGCTTCCTCTTGAGCGTTGAGTCAAAACACTTGAAGCGGTCTTGGATAATTCGCCAGGACACATGGGTAAGAATTGAAGTACCAACTGGGGAAGATGATCTCAGGGCTGAAGGCAACGGGTGGTTCCGAAAATTTGATGGCCTAAGAGACATAGAGAGAGAGAGAGACGCAGTAGGTTGTGTCAAGTTCGTAGGCGGTATGCATGTCATTACAGAGAGATGGAGTTACGGTTACTGCCTCAGGGCGCCTTCGAATTTGTGTGGAAAGATGAGATCTAACTTTGACGATTCTTGAGGGATAATACTAATTTGTAGTTGACTCATCCAGCGCGGAGGGCTGACGAAAGCGCATGCGTCTAAGAAGTGAGCGGAAGTGCTTTCGAGTGCGATTGTTCGAGGGATGCAGGATTGGCGAGAATGCCCTCAGTATTGCTGGGAGCTTGTATGGAGGAACGGACATCATGTACCCAGACGAAATCTTTTACAGAAACCATGTACTTATCGCAATTACCATTATTCGAATCAGTGTTGATGGCGCAGTTATCGTGAAAAAACTATGCAAATTGCGACAATCGGGACCAGTCGTGAAGAAGCTCTAACGTCCAAAATTACGCTTCCTCAATCAGTCAATACGGCT